TGGCATTCATTACAATACTCCTGTGATATCTTGAATGAAAAATAAAGGTTTTGTTATTTTGATTTGTGGGTTTGGCATCTTACACCTAAGGGTTGGGGTAAAATGCCAAGATCCTTGTGGGGTAAGATGCCTTTTTTAAATTGCACTGTAAACTTTGTAACACTTGTTTTTTCTCAGGTTTATGTCTATTTTGGTTAGTGATTTCCTTTCAGTACGTCTAATTGAATAGTTTCTTAATTTATCTTGCTTGTTTTAGGTAAAATGCCACGAACGTACGTCAGAAAATCAACTAGAGGCGAATGGACTGAATAAGACCTTAGAGCAGCTGCAAATGTTTTACGTCAGCAGCCAACCCAGAGTGCAAATGCGATTGCTAAAGAATATAGAATCCCTCTACGAACCTTGATGAGACCTGTAAAGAATAACAATCTTGAAAAGGGAAGTCTTGGACCAACCGCCTCGTTAGGTATTGAAAATGAACTGGTGTCTTATATAAAAAGTTTAGAAAAAATTGGCTATGCTCCAACTTCAAGAGACGTAAGACACCTTGCCTTTACCTTTTCTCAAAAGAATGGGCTAAAATGTAGATTTAACCAAGAAAAAGAATAAGCAGGATACGGTTGGTTTAAACTTTTTTTAAACAACACCTAACCCTAACCTTGAGAGTAGCTCAAGGTCGTTCAATAGCTCGTTCACTTGGTATGTCTGCCGCAGAAGTAGATCCATACTTCCAAATGTTGAACGATACATTTACGACGCTCAATTTGTTTGATAAGCCGGTATACATTTTTAACGTGGACGAGACTGGCTTGCAACTATGCAATAAACCTTCCAAAGTCGTGGCCACAAAAGGAGCTAGATATGTTCAGTCGGTCACAAGCTCAGAAAAAGGAGAAACAGCGTCATCGCTTGCTGTAATGCAGAAGGTAGCTTTTTGCTTCCCTACGTAATATTTAAAGGTAAAAATTAAAAAAAGGAATTTGAAGATAACATGCCCCCTGGATCGGTAGTAGTAATGTCTCCAGAGTCCGCCTATGTGAAAACCAGTATCTTCTCATCAGTACTAATATTAGATGGTCATGCTTCACATTGTAATGACGTGTAAGTCTTGGACTTTTTGGCTGAAAATGAAATTCATGTGATTTGCTTACCTAGTCATACGACTCTCTGGCTTCAGCCTCTCGACCGTTCATTTTTCAAACCTTTAAAGACCTACTGGAATGGCGCTTGTAATCAGTGGATAAGAAATCATCCAGGACGTCGAATAACTAGGTAATTTGGTTTAAATAAATAAGTTTGAAAGAGAGAGATTTCTTTGTTTCTTGTGCTTTACAGGTATCAATTAGGGGAACTATTAAACCAAGCGTGGTCTCAAGCCGCAACGGTTCAGAATTATGTTTCTGGATTTCGGGCTTGTGGAATTTATCCATGCTCCAAAGATGCAATTCCCGCCATGCATATGCTTTAGCTGAGCACCAATTTACAGAAGTGGAACATGTCGATGCAGAAAACTCTGAAGAACATGGCGGCGACCTAGCTGTTGTAAATTTTGATGATATAGCACCAATTCCATCCATAGCTGGTCCTAGTAGGCCAAACGTTAGAAAACAACATGCAGAAGTCCTTACTTCTCCTGACTACCGCCAAAAAATTGAAGAGAAATAAAAGAAGCAAGAAAAAAAGGTAGCTAGGTTAGAGAAGAAACTTCCTAAAAAGGTAACAAAAAAAAAGAAGAATGTAGTAAGACACAGTAGCAGTAGTGAAGAAGATGAAGAAGAAAATATTGTCTCAGACTATAGCTCTGATGAACCTGACAATGACCAGGATAACTTCTGGGCAATTTGCGATGGCTTTCACCATGAGGGTCCCAAAGTTGACTGGATTTGCTGTGTCGTATGCAACAAGTGGCTACACGAAACCTGTGCTTCGAATCCGAATATATGCGATCCTTGCGCAAAAATCACTAAATAAAACATTAAAAATTTTAACCTTGGTGCAAGATGCCACTTAGCTGGGGTATGATGGCACTTTAGCTGGGATATGATGGCCAATACAATGTTTTCTGTCTATGGCATCACATTTGTCCCCCCAAATTTGTCATCTCACCTCAAGTCTGTCGGCATCTTACCCCGTAGTTCGGGTAAGCTGCCGAAATGACAGCTGTCAATGTTTATCTAACTTTTTCGTTAATTTTTAAGAAAATTAAAACTTTTTGTTGTTTAATCATTTGTTTATTGTATTTGTAATAGAATACCCAGTTTTTGCAAGTTTTGAATAAAGTTATTTTTTTTTTATTTTTAAAAAAATGTTACGCGTCTTCCCCCCAATTACCTTAGAATTTTTGGGTTTAATGTTTATTTTTGTACCACCAATAAATAATTTGAACCATATTCTGTATAACTGTTTTTGTGGCATTATAAAACTGCTACTATTAATATGTTGAAGACCCTCGCCCATACTCACAATTAAAAACAGCACAACGATTCACCATGATTTATTATTTATTTTAAGATTTTAGAAAATATTTATCTGTCAACACTTTTCTTTATTTACTTTCTCGCCGGATAGACACTAGCGAACCTAGATAGATGATTTTGGCTAGGAAGTACGCCAGGTTTTATCACCGTTTTCATTTGTTTTTAAATGAGAGTTGGTGCATCGTGGTCTTTAACTATAAATTGAAAAAAAAAATGTTTTAGTTAGCTCAAGGTCAGAGTTAATTATATATTGAAAAACCGCCCCTTAAACGGTGTGAATTTTTAAGTGCTTTTGCGGATAAACTGTTTCGGACATATTTTACACTCGAACGGTTTTTTCCAATGTGAATTTTTATGTGCGTTTTCAAATTACCATTTCTTGTAAACAGTTTCGAACATGTTTCACACTTGAACGGTTTTTCCCCAATGTGAATTTTGAAATGGTGTTTACGAACAAACCATTTAGAGCATTTTTCACACTCGAACGGTGTTTCTCAAGTGTTAATTTTTAAATGCCCTTTAAATAGCTTCTCCGGACAAACTGTTTCGAACATATTTCACACTTAAACGGTTTTTCTCCAGTGTGAATTTTTAAGTGCTTTTTTAAATCGCTTTTGCGAATAAACTGTTTCGGACATTTTTTCATTCGAACAGTTTTTTCCAATGTAAATGTTTATGTGTTTCGAAATTACCATTTCTTGTGAGCCGTTTCGAACATATTTCACACTTGAACCGTTTTTTCCAATGTGAATTTTAAAATAGTGTTTCTCAAGTGTGAATTTGTAAGTGCCTTTTTAAATCGCTTTTCCGGGCAAACTGTTTCGAACATATTTCACATTTAAACGGTTTTTCTCCAGTGTGAATTTGTAAGTGCTTTTTTAAATCGCCTTTCCGGGCAAACTGTTTTGTACATATTTCACACTTAAACGGTTTTTCACCAGTGTGAATTTTTAAGTGCTTTTCTAAATCGCTGTTGCGGATAAACTGTTTCGGACATATTTTACACTCGAACGGTTTTTCTCCGGTGTGTGTTCTTAAGTGGTAATTTAAATTAGATTTCTGTGTAAGCTGTTTCGAACATATTTCACATTTGAACGGTTTTTCTCCCGTGTGAATTTTTAAATGTGATTTTAAATTATTTTTACGAAAAAACGCTTTAGAGCATTGTGCACATTTGAACGATTTTTTTCCAGCATGAATTTTTAAGTGAAATTTTAAATTGCATTTAAATGTAAACCGTTTTGAACATATTTTACAATTGAAGGGTTTTTCTCCAGTGTGAATTTTTAAATGCTTTTTTAGATAGCTTTTTCGAATAAACTGCTTTGAACATATTCCACACTGGAATGATTTTTCTCCAGTGTGTATTTTTAAATGCGTTTGCAAATTAACATTTTTTGTAAACTGTTTCGAACATATTTCACATCCGAACGGTTTTTCATTGGAATGCAATATATTTGGTGTATATGGATGTCTGAATGTATGTAAACAATTTTTACATCGACAATCCTTATATTGTCCAAATAGTCGCTTACAAATTTTTGTTACCGTCTTTACATAATGAACAACAATAAAATGGTACAGGAACTGTGACGTATTAAGAAAAACTTGGCTGCAATAGTAACAAGTTTCGCAATTTCTTCCAAATTGGCCGTTGAACAAGTTTTTTCTAAGCGACCTGAAAACTAAAACGAAAAATATATTAATTTTGATTAAGGCTGCCGTTGACTTGCTTGTACTACCCCTTGTTAGGTTATATAATGCATGCATCTCTGAAGCCATCTCTGGCCTAAACAATTAAAGCATAGGTTAAAGCATACAGTGATTGGTCTCGGGATAGTCATTGACCATATTGAATTTAAAATCCAATATTAAAGAAACTTATTTGCTTTTATTTACTTAATTTGACTATTGCCAAACACAATCCTAGTTATTTAGAATGCCTAACTTTTTAAAGCACGTCCAGTTAAAAATGGCACAAATGAATCCAGACAGTAAAGAATAAGTGAAAATCTTGTGATGTGATTTCGTTAAGCTTGGAATGACACAAATCCCTACCAATATTATAAAAGCGAAAGTAAGTTTGTTTGTTACGCAAAAACTACTTAACCGATCATCATGAAATTTTGTACACATATTTTTGTAGGTATTAGAAGTAACATAGGATACTTTAAAATAAATTATTTTTTACGGAAGATAAAAAAATTGTTTGTCAAGAAATTTAAAAATCTAGCTACTTCAACGCCATCTAGCATTCCAGTAATGAAGTTTCAACCCTGAGTACTGTAATATCGTCGCATTGTATTACCGACGGTCACGTCAATATCCAATCCATTCCAATTGAGTATAGTTTCAGCTGTTTGAAATTTTTCTATATTTATTGTTATTTTCTTCTGTCATTATTCTATGAAGTATAGAACTATTGAATTTTTGAGGTTAGGTGTCATTTTTGTGGTTACATGTCACTTCATTATTTTAGATCTCACTCACTGATTTTAATTCTTACTCTGTTCATCTTCAAAAATGCCTCGGAAGCGGATATCTAATCTATCGAAAAATTCGTCCCGGGCCCGTGCAGCTAAAGTTGCCCGTAATCACGAATCTTCGTTTGACGCAGAGCTGAGAAGACAACAGCAAGCACAGCGACAAAGTGTTTTGAGAGCAGCTGAAACGCCTCTTCGGTGGCGAGTTCAATCAGAAAGAAACTCTTGCTTTCAAATGACATCCTTTGGAGTTGATAAAGTGATCAGAATGCCCGGAATTTCACCAACTTTTACGGTACAAGGTCAGATATATCATCAAATTGGATCACTATTTCCAGAAGGTAATGACCAGCATAAATTTTTACATGTTTATTTTATGGGTGATGAACAAAATGAAGTAAACCGTCGTTTCCAGTATATTGAAGGAGTAGAAAGAGAAACAGTATTGAAAATTCAACGAATATTACAGTCACAATGTTTTGGTGAAGATATTTAAAACTGCAATAGACAACTGGCCCTCAGATAATTTCAAAGCCGCGGGTAAAATCTAGTAAGGTAATATATTGGGCAATTATTAGATCGTAAATGTGTTATAATGATTTTATATTATATTTAGTAAAGGAAAAGAAAAAATAGTTTTTATTTAGCCTGAAAACTCTGCCGATGTTCTAGTAGATATGATTTGTAGGTGCAGCGGCGGCGGCGCAAGATGGCGGCCGGCACATCTGGTGGCCACCTGTTTCCGGTCACCTGTTTCCGGCCATATGGTGAACACATGGTGGCCATCTGGTGAACACATGACGTCACATCTGGCGGCCATCTGGAGATTTTTTATACACTCACCTGCATCCGGCACATTTGGCGACTACCTGCATATGGTGAACACATGGCGGCCATTTGTTTCCGACCTGTCTGGACAAGTGGGGACAACTACATATAAGTATCAACAGTTCAATAAACGATGCTTAGTAATACTAAAACATCAAATAGCTCATCATAAAGTCATAAATAATAGGCAATATGAGCTATCGGTGCGTCACTCCAGAAATGGTAATTCAGAAGACAGAGAATGAATTAAAAATTATTTATAAAACATCTTCCCTTCAAGAACTTTCGGCAAACGCGCTATATTGGAGTGTAAAGGACATAAATCCAGAAATGATTGGAAAAAGTGATAAAAAAATTGTGATACCCCATTTTATAAAGGACCATTTAAATGTGTATGCTATAATGCAATTAAAAAGACAAATTAATAAAAATGAATAAATTAAGTTCTAAATTATTGTGATTACGACACTGTGCTACTACTTAAATTAAGACAGAATTTCGCCCGGAAATTAATAAAAATGAATAAAATATTACCCACCACTGTGCTATTACTAAAATTAAGACAAAAATTTCGTGACACCCCAGTTTATAAAGGCATATGCATATGCCATGGTGCAATTAAAGAAGCAAATTTATAAAAATGAACGTTAGGTGCGTCACTCCAGAGGATAAAGTTTCAGCAATAGATGTTGTAAAGAGACAAATTTATAAAAATGAACTGCATCACTCCAGAGGATAAAGTTTTAGCAATAGATGTTGTAAAGAGATAAATTTATAAAAATGAACTGCATCATTCCAGAGGACTCAATATAGACTCAAGTATGTAAAAAACCTATTAAAGAGGCAATATAAATGAATAAATTATTGTGACTACGCCACTGGTATTTTAATTTAAGACAGAATTTCGCCAGGAAATTAATAAAAATGAATAAAATATTACCCGCCACTGGTATTTCAAATTAAGACAGAAATTCATGGTATAAAATTTTTGAATTTATGAATGCTTTATTTGCTTCTACAATAAAAATAGAGAATTTTAAGTGACTGTGACAAAGACAAAAAATCTGCGTTGTTATTATAAACGTGTAACCACAGAGCTGCGTTCACACGATTGTAGAATAAAGGAAATTATTTTTTAAATGAACATGTGTTTATAGTGTAATGAAACATCAATTTATTTTTGTCTGGCTTGGCAGCTGTTATAATGTTATGCCATTAAAGACAGTGTATGCAAAAGACATTTTTCTATTTTTTAAGAACTTGAAATAAAACTTAGACATTCAAGATTTATATAGGTTCATGAGAAAATTTTCGTGAGAACATGTTTTAGCGCGATAATTAGAGGGCGTTAATTAATTTTTTTTAAAAAAAGAATGCACTTTTAGCATTGGGCATTGGACTTTTTATTTGAATGATACTTGTACAGAGTTTAAGGCGTTGATTAATTTTTTAAAAATGCATATATTTTTCTATTGGTATAAAGTGAAAGATTTTTTTATTTTAATGTTGTCATTGGTTTATTAAAATTCATCATTGGGGGTGAGAAGAACTTCGGGAAGGGGGCTATCGTTTAAATATAAATAATGTGGATTGTTTTAGTTAGTTTATTAGCAATGAATCAAGTAAAAATTATAAGTCATTTCTGTAGCATAGGCGGGGGTCAGTTCCAAATTGTGAAAGAGAATCCGGATCTTGACAATTCGGTAATTTATATTTCGGGGAATTGTCAACCGATTGGATCAATTCGAAATAAAAAAATGTGTACCGTAACTTCAACTCATAAAAAAATGTGTGCCGTAACTTCAACTCCCCTACTAAATGATCGTTTTGAAAACATTTCGACTGATGAAATCTTCGGTGATTTATCGATGGTTGAGACGCTCACGACTTCCATGCTATCACCTTTTGATACCAGAACCGAATACCTAGGACCATCTACTTCCATGCCTTCTGGAACCACAGCGGGATACATCTGCTTTCATGCAGTTAATTATATGTACGCATTTATGTCTGGGTGGCTATAATTATCACAAAGAATGTTAGAACAGTTTTTACAAGCTGAGCTACATGAGAATATGCGAATATGGTTTACGCAAAAAGATATTTTTTTAGACAATAGTATGAGCTTGAAATAAAACAGAGACATTCAAGAGTGATTCGGTGAGAACTTCTTTTTCGCGCCAGAAAGATGCCATAAATACATGTTGGTTTAGACTTTTTATTTGAATAATATTTGTGCTGAAAAATAAGGCGTGGATTAATTTAAAAAAAAATATATATGCATTACTATTGGCATAAAGAGAAATATTTTTTTTATTTTAATATTACATGTATTTTCATTGGTTTGGGGTGTTGATTAATTTTGTATACACTTTAATAATGAAAGGAGGAACCTTTTTATTTGAATAATATTTTGCATACATTTTATATACTCTCTATTGGTATAAACAGACAGATTTCTTTTTATTTTAATATCCCTATTGGTTTATTGAAATTTATCATTGGGGGTAGGGTGTTTGCTTATGATTTCTAGGGGTTACGATTTAAATACCAGGGATCTGAATTATTTCAGATAGTTTACTGATATAGCTCATCAACATATAAAAATGAAAGTGCCTTCTACATCATCTGTAAAAATCATAAGTCATTTCCGTAGCATAGGCTGGGGTCGGTTCCAAGCTGTGCTTCCTGAAGAGAATCATAGATGCCCTATGGAAGAAGATCAAATTGTACAAGATAATGAAAATCCGGAGTTCATTGGGGCCATTCAACGAGAAGAGGATCCTGAAGTTATTAATGAAAATCTGGAGGGCATGATACCTGAAGAGAATCTAGATCTTAACGATTCAGTCATTTATATTTCGGGTAAACCAGGTCAGCCATTTGGAGCACCTCGAATTAAAAAAATGTTTCGAGGTGCCATAACATCTACCCCTCTACTGGACATCGCCTATGAAAACATTTCAACAAGTGATATAACTGCTGATTTTTCACAATTTGAAGGGTTATATAGTCTTATGGAAGATCAAATTGTACAAGATAATGAAAATCCGGAGTTCATTGGGGCCATTCAACGAGAAGAGGATCCTAGAGAAATTAACAAAAATTTGGTGTTCATTGGAGACATTCAACTAGAAGAAGCTCCTGAAGAAATTGATGAAAATCAGGAAAAGTTTGTTGATGGAACATTTAGTGACTCGATCGAAACCACCTCAGATGAAGACGGAGCTATTAAAACATACAAAGAACATTTAAATTCGTTTTTTAAAAAAGACACTGTTATGTGCAACGAATTATCTGAACAAAAAAACACTTTGTGCAAAAAACTAAATAAGTATGAGAAAAAGGTAGTTAAATTAAAAAAACAAATAAATAAACTAGATAAATATAGTAAGTTAGGTTTAGATTTAAGAAATTTATACAGATGTGACAATAAATAATTTTTAAATAACTATTGTTTCAATTGATTTTTATTTTTCAGGTAATAGTGTAATAAATTTCAAAGTAAATCAGGTCTAAGTTAGAGAGTGTATATAGTTATGAATGTACTCGTAACTGTAGACAGTATTTTTAAGTTAACTTTAAAATTGCTCAAACTTACGATTTAACGTTAATCCATAATCACCAATTATCAGGTACAACTTATAATAACCCAAACTGCACAGAGTTTCACAATAATTTTTATTAATTTACACATATTTGATATTAATTTTAGAAATGCACAAAAATAACTTATTATAAACAACTAAACCACACCTACATTTTAAAAACGTCTGGAGGTTCATAATTCAAGTTTATAAAATTTTTCAAAACTACATTCTATCGACCTCTATACACTAAGTTCGAAACAGATAAAACTCAGGAGCAGAAAACTAATTACGATTGCCGCTGTTTTAATCTCTAATGTAAACGGTGCCAGCGTCAAGTCAAATTAAGACCCAAGTTATAGTCCAGGAAATATTGGAACGGGTTTTAAAATAAAATAATGCGCTTTTAAATATTAAATTTATAAAGCAGTATTTTTCATATAAAAATATATTACAACAATAGTGCTTTGAAATGTTATACAGAATTCAACAATAGTGTACTAAAATGTTGATAAATAATAAATATTTTTTACTAATCCAACATTATAAAAATATATAAATAATTTTACAATTATATGATCATATAACGAAAGTTTACATAATATAGGTATAAAATTTTAAAAATATGCCCTTCATCACTAAAATTTATTAATATTGTAATAGTACTAATTTTCATTGTTTTCATATATAATTTTGGATAATGTTAATATTTATATAAGTCCATAATTATTACATATTATGCAAAATTCGATGATGCATACTGTATACAAATTTTCATTGCACACCCAACAATTAAAGCAGCTTCCTGGTAGATTTAAAGCGGATACACTAAAATGCTCGGTCTGATGCTCATGTTGTAAATTTTCTTGGAATGGTGCCACTGTTTCGTAATAACACGAATAGCACAACCGATGATTTTCACATAATATAAAATTCTGGGTAATACATAGAGTTTTTGAAGACCTTAAAAATTCGTGACTTTGCAACTCACTGCTCTCCTCGACTTTATGGTCTACAACGGAGCAGTCTAGTGAAATACCGCTATCGTTGCTGTCTTCATCAAATAGTACCTCATCGCCTTGGTCGTCCATGTTAACAACTTCAAAATAGATATATATTTTATATATATTCTACTGGATGGTACGCACCCTGCCACTTATGTGGTATTTGGCATATGGCTTCCACTTGGTCTGATTTGGCACAATCACAACAAATTCCTATCGGCTGTGGTTCCTTCCTTACGCTAAACAGAAGTGGCCACTTTCTATATTTGTATATAATTTTACATATTTTATATGGATCGACTAAGTCTTTATAAGTAATGAAAACCGGTCTTATTTGCACACATTTTGGACAAAATGCTAAAAATTTTTTTTCCTCCTCTGTTTTTGTGACCATTCGGGATTTCACTAAACGACAAACCAAACACAATTTCGCTCGAGTTTATACTTATTCGGAGGATAAAATACATCCAAAAGATCACCGAAGTCTTCGCTCGACATTACTAAACTAAAAATTATCAACGATTCCCTCTTATATAGAACTCATGGAAATTAGTAAACATGAAACCACGATCATCATGTGGTGTCTAGACATCCACTCTACCATCTGGCGGTCACCTGTTTCCGGCCATCTGCGTCCTGCACATCTGGTCTACTATGAGTTCAAGGCCACCGGCACATGACGTGACACCCAAACAAGTCAGGACAAGTCTAAACAAGTAGTCTGGACATATAAACATCAACAGCTCATTTTAATAAACAGTATGAGTTTAGTGGTGCTTAGTAGAAGACTCCAAAGGTTTACACAGGGCATTATAAAGGTGAAACATCAAATAACCCTTTACGAAAATAGAAGAAAAATTAAAAAGTTGAAGCAGAGTATTATAAAATTACAAAGTGAATACCAGGCTAAGCAAAGGATGTTTAAAAATTTTTTCGAGGCTTTCTTTAAGTGATGCGCTTACGTAGTGGTAAAGTTTATGAACTCAAAGAAGAGAGACTATTTTTCATTTCTTGTGAAGAAGAAAAGAAGTGGATAGACCTGGTGTTTAAAAATATCAACCGTTTCAAAGATGGAGTGTTGCGCGAAGGGTGCCCTGATCGCCCAACATTCAAAAAAACCGCTGCATATGTTCACTCAAGAAGAATTGAAGAATTTTAGCGTTGAATATTTAAGAAAACATGCTACTCCTTGGGAACTGTTAATGTCTTGGCATAAATTACCAATTGAAGCCACGACAGATTTTGTGGTGGGGACCCGGCTCCCCTGTTTTGTACACTACAATAGACCAGAGATCCAAACTCACATAGATGGACCAGCGCCTGCGCAATCAAATTGTTATTTATGCATGTCTGTACTAAGATAAAAATAAAGAATTATTTTATAAGTTGATTTTTATTTCTAAAATAAAACAAATGTTAAAAAAGATATATTTATTGCATAAAAAAATTCTCATATAAGTAAAATACATTAGATAATGAACATATGCTGTTCTCACTTAAATGATGTGGACATTTCGGGGGTAATTTTGGTAAACCCGGGTATTCATCCATTTCGAATACTGGTGCTAAACTATATTTTCTAATGTACTGCGCCTTCTCCCTTCCTTTTACATAAACTGTTTCTGCATTCTTTGTTACATTCTGGATAATATTATGGAATTCATGTAGCGGTGTAAAACCATGATTCCAATTCAACCCATGGTGATTGGCCATTAACCATATAGCTTGCCTATGAAATTCTTCATTTAGCAAACGCATACGGAAAGGTGCTTTAAAAAAAGTGTGTGTAATTTTTTTCCCATCAAAAGTAGCTAACTCTTTACAAATAAATTTGTTTTTTTCAATGATGAAACCCTGAACATCTACTATTAAACGCATCTTAAAGACTAACTAGTGATGCTATCTAGCGAGAATTTATATATTACAGTTTTGAACATGCGCTTTAAATTTGTTTAACAATTTTTGTTAGTGGATTGTAAGAAAATTCTTTCTCATGTAAAATCAGGCAGTAAGCAGATACTTCATTACCTACATTATTGTCGGTTTCAAATTCAATTCTGAGAACAATCGACCCACTCTGCAAAATTTCTTTTTGGTGTGAGCAGTCAATGTGGACTATAGGAGGATTATTTTTAAATTCTTCTGGTGTAAATATTGGTTGATTTGTTTGAATATGATAATAACTTTCTTGGAAATTGGCAAACATTTCATATAAAGTTGCAAAGCGATCAGTATTAAAATCAAGATGTAAATCCTGATATGGGTACCGCTCAGAATTCAAAAAAGCACGTATATTTGTTAAATTGAGATGATCAAATTTACTCATATCTTTTAAAAGTTTGCCTTTTCGGGCATTTTGGAATGCTACCACGATATGTCTTGGGCTTTCTATCTTTGTAGTAGTTTTAACAGGCCAGGTATGGCGTGTTGTATTAGACAAAGCTGGATATTCAATTAATTCCCAACTTCTAAACATTAGAGGTAGATCAACATTACTTCTAATTATTTTATTTAGTCGAATTTGTTCTTTGATACTAGGTGTTACATGTGGAACATTCCAACACACTTTAGTGATGTCTATTTTTGGTTTTTCCGTTTCATCTGTAGCAATAACTCCATCAATGTCATCTTTTTCGCGAATTAAAACTAGCTCTTGCCTCATATTCATAACTATTTTTCTAAAATCCTCAAAAAACCCTGACCAGAGCTTTAAGGGGATAGAAACATTGAAATTACCTTTTCCATCAATTAGAATTTTACCTTTAGGGCACCATCCAGCATTTTGCATGAGTTTACTTTCGTTTTCATTGAGAGAAAGATAATTTTTTAAGGAAGAAACTAAACCTACATTTCTTACAAAGTCTATTGTGACACCATTTAATTCATACCTTAATTCTCTGAACAAATAAGCGATGCCATTATTAATAAAGTTAAATTTAGTTGGGACTTTTTCTGATCAGTTAATATTTTACCCTCGATGTATAAGTAACTGTTGCTGGGAAGAGTATATGCTTCTAGATCTTGAATTGGGATTCTTATTTCGTCGTTATAATTAAAATTGGAAAATGTGAAAGGTTGGTAAGAATGAAATTGATAATCTTCAATGGTATTATCACTAAATGGTAGACCTGTTACATTAAGAATTTCCATTATACTAAAACTTTAAATCCTAGTGATATTAAGAATTTTCGGTTTTCTGAAGTTAACAGTGCAATGGCTTTTTTTCTACTAATTGTTTCTTTATGGTAGTTCCTTTTATATGGATGAAAATACCAAACCATTATCCACTTTTTCGTAAATGTAGGCGAATAGTAATAGTTTCGTTTTGAAAATTTACTAAAGCAAGGTCTTGATCTAAAACTCTAACGGTAATGTTGCTTATCGTTTTAATGGTAATTGGATAATAAAGCATTGTCAGGGGTTGCTCGACTATTTTATACCCATTTGGTACTTGGGGGAAAAATTGGTGTATAATATGCACTGGATTACCGTTTAAAAACGAGCCAATGGCAATATTTGCGTCGATACAAATCGTGTTTACTTTTAAAATATTTATCGAGTAAACAGAAGAGTGTATAATATTTGGTTCAAGCTTAATTTTAGTAAACCCAAATAAACTTCCTATAGAGTGATCAACTTCAAAATTTATCCATTCTGTACTCTTTATAGTTACTTTCGATGTTCTTTCATCAGGTGTAATTTGTGTTGTTGTAATAGCAATTTGAAACATTTCTCTTTCTATAATTTTTATTATATCCGATATTTCATATGCGCCTACTGGAATCTCATATCGATATTCGTTATTTTTACCCCAGACCAAGACATTATTTTTCTCATCAATATTTGGTATATTGTTAAACGTATCAAAATTTGCCAATCCTATCTCATACTCGCCATCATCCAAGTATATTGGTGGATTAAAATCATCGCTTAGAACAGATGATTTACCGCTTAAAGTAAATGTATACGACATAATGGTTGAAAACAAAATGAATCATATATTACTATTATATTGATTATATAAAAATTTAAGACAGTACTGTCCACACTGGTAGGAATTATATTTTTGTACTACATCATAATTATATTTAATTTGAACCGCACCTCTACTTTTAAAGTATAGTACTAACTCTTTTGGAGGTGGCAAATTTCCGTAACTATCAAAATATATAACCATGTTATGATCTTTAATGTATGCAACCCAGTGGGTTCCTTGTTTTTCTTTACTGTCAAGATTAATGATGCCAGACTCATTTAGTCTAATTTTAAGTGGTAGAGAATCACGCATGTAAATACCGCGAAAATGAGGAATTTTTAATAAACGCGCATATTTGTCTAGATCAATGTTACTCATTATCTTATGAGGTAATTTTAACGGGAGTTTTTTGAATACGGTTTTAAATAAAACCCCATTCCTTTACTTTATTTTTTCATCCCATACCCTTTGTATGGTCTTAAATAAAATCCTTTCCCTGTTTTTGCAGCTTGCTCCAATGCTAAATTATGTCTTTGTTGTTCAGCCAACTGTTGACGGTTAGCTTTGGCATCATTTACTGCTTTCGCTATTCCAGCAGCACTTCCACCAACGGCTCCAAGCGCTCCTAATAGAGGTAAAAGAAATGGTAAAAATCCACCTTTTCTGGGGGTAGGAATAACTCGTTTTTTCTTTCCACCTTTTTTTAATTTTCGTTTAACTTTCTTCGATCTCATACCCATTCCAAGTTTACGTTTTGCTTTCATTCCTGTAGTAACTAATCAAGCCGCAATCTTTTCACCTAACTTTGCGTCTTTTGTTTTAACTCTTTTCCAAGCCTTATTTTCTAAAATTTTATCAGCACTATGTCTTTCACCAAGTTTTTTAGTTTGGGAATAAGCAATATCGTGTTCTTTACAGGCTGCGTCTAATTGGTTAATGCCTCTATCACCGCTTAGTAATCTCTTATCAAGGTGAGTCCCGGGACCACAGTAGGAAAACCCCGGAATATGTAATTCAATTGGTAGTTTGTTTATCAAAGAATTTACTATTCCTCTTCCTCTTCGAAGTGAACTAATTCGCTTACGTTTCGACATTAAGCTATATATATATA